TAATTAATTAATTAATTAATTTTTTGGCAGAACTGGGGATTGAACTCAGGCCCTTGCGCTTGTCAAGGAAGCGCTTATTCCACTGAGCCATCTTCCCAGCCCAAAGTGATTTTTTTTCTCCCTTTTTTTATTTTTAAAAAAATGCCATTTCAGGCCCCAACTGTGACCTCAGGATCTCTTGGGGGTGGTGCCTGAAGTGAGACTCTTAAACAGTTGTGCTGAGATTTCTGATACACACAGACGGATGCTGTAGATGGAACGCATGCTTGAGTCCGGGGGACAGGGGAGGAGCCCTAGGGCTAAAAGTCAGGGTTGCTTCAAAGGTCGGTAGAGAACCTTGGAGGGAACACAGAGGCCACCAGGGCGGCTGGCTGGCGGAGGACCCTGGCGGAGGACCTGGGGTCCTGTGTGGTGGGCGGGGTTGTGTGGTCGAGGTCTGTTAGTGACCTTCTATGGTGATGGTCACACCTGGTCACTAGGGAAGTCTGCGGGGTCCAAAGTACGGGAGGTTCGAGGATGGGACTTAGGCACTGGATGGGCCCAGGGGTGCTTCAGACACTCGGTGCAGCCAGCAGGGTTCAGGATGTACAGGGAGGCTGCAGTGTGGATGCTGGGCAGGGCTGGAAGGAGCTTCTCAGTGGTCTCTCCCCTGTTCCAGCTCATGCTCGTGAGGATGCCAAGCACTGCTGTGACAGGTGCGAGCAGGAGCAGGTGGCAACGACAGCCAGTGAGTTGACTCTAGTTTTGAAGACAGTGTCTGGCTAGGTTGCCCAGGTTGGCCCTGATCTCCCGGGTTCAGCGATCCTCCTGCCTCAGCCTTCTAAATAGCTGGAACTCCAGGTGTTGCCCTGTCATGCTGCATGAGTTGGTGGTTTTATCTGGTGATCAGGGGCTCTTTATGGAGTGAGTCAGAACGGATCCGAAGGAGGTGAGGGAATGAAGCAGCCAGGAGGGGCGGTGGGGCAGTAGTGTGGCGGGTCTGAGAGAGGGCAAGGACTCTGGTGTGAACAGAACAGGGTGAGCAACGAGGAAGAGATGGGGTAGGCTCTGGGAGGTTGGCTGCCCAGGCCTCTTGGCTTGGGGAAGGAGGGACTTGAGCTGTGTTTTTTTTTTTTAACATCTCAATTCAAGTTTAATAGGCACTACAAAAGGTCAGCAAATGGCCTTGGCACTGCTCCTGGTACATCACACATTATCATTTTCATATGGTCCACTACTAAATACAGCTCAGGCCATTACTACCAGTGGAAGAAAAGATGGTTCCCCAACCCCTACAGGAAAGACACGTATTGTCGCACACATCGTGTTTAAAGCACGAAAAAAAAATGTACAAAAGAGCTTTTGTTCTCTTGGCCCACTGCTCACTTCTGCTTAGAGAAATACTCTTCGCTTTTCTGGACATCAGGCTTGATGGTGTCACTGCCAGGCTTCCACCCAGCTGGGCACACTTCTCCATGTTTGTCAGTGAACTGAAAAGCCTGCACGAGTCTCAGAGTTTCATCTACAGAGCGGCCAACAGGAAGGTCGTTAACTGTGATCTGCCGAAGGATACCGTTATCATCAGTGATAAAGAGGCCCCTGAATGAGATGCCTTCATCGGCCTTTAAGACCCCATAATCCTGGGCAATGGCACGCTTGGGATCTGACACCAAGGGAATGTCCATAGGCCCCAATCCTCCTTGTTTCTTGGGTGTGTTGATCCACGCCAGATGACAAAAGTGAGAATCCACAGAAGCACCGATCACTTGGCAGTTAAGTTTTTTTGAATTCTTCTGCCCTGTCACTGAACGCAATTATCTCCGTGGGGCACACAAAGGGGAAGTCAAGAGGATAAAAGAAGAATACAACATATTTTCCTTTGTAGTCAGACAGGCTGATATCTTTGAACTGACCATCTGGCATAACAGCTGTGGCTCAAAGTTGGCGGCAGGGTGCCCGATTTTGGCACTTCCAGAAGACATCTTGCTATCAGTTTTTAGTCCAGGCTGGTCTCTAATTTGCAACGATCCTTCAATCCTCCTGTCTCAGCCTCCCGAATGCCAAGTGCAGTTGTGCACCACCACGCTCGGCTTTGTTTCAATTTTTTAACACAGTTCCCACGCCGGGATCTTCCAACCGCAAACCACCAACACAGAGAGGAAGAGGACACCTCGAGCTGTGGTTTTTCTGGGCGAGATGGGACCTGCTGGAGGGGCATCCTGGCCCAGGGTCATGAGCCAGCCGGGGTTTTCACAGGTGCTAGGCAAGTGCTGTCCCACTGAGCTGCACTAGAGCTGTTTTTTTTTATTTTAGGGTTTTTGAGACAGGATCTTGATAGTTCAGGTTCAGGCTGGCTCTGAACTCACTACGTAGCCCAGGCTGGCCCAGAACTCACAGCGTCCTCCTGCCTCAGCCTCAGTGCTGGGATCACAGGCATGTGCCACCACCTCCCACTCCATTCACATTTTGAGCCCATGCATTAGGTTAGGGTCAGAGGTTGACTTTTTGGCTGCTTAGTGTAGGGCAAGGGCACAGGAGTCTCTCCAAGGAGCCCCTGGAGAGGGTTTTCCTGTTGTCACCTTACCACTTGGCAGGGGAGGGAGGGTGCCGAGAGGATGGCAGTGATCGAAGAGCAGGCAGATTTCTCATCTTTGACTTGCAGGGGGCTGGTGTCAGCAGACTGCTTACAATCTGCAGCTGTGAGAGGCAGGACATTCAGGGAAATGAGAGCAGAGATGGGCAGATTAGGCCTGCAGGGAGACGGGAAATGGACTGTGAGCGCTTGACACGGAGCAGTGGACTCAGGGAAGACACAGGCCGGCAGG